GGGGGGGGGGGGGTGGGGGGGGGGGGGGATGCAAGGGGTGTGGGAGAGTCTGGATTAGAGACAGATAAATAAGGAGGGAGATTCCAGCTGAACTCGAGATTTGTTATTACTGACTACATTAACAACAACAGTTCAGAATGTTTAAGAGCCGAGTCGAATAAAATTCATTTTTCTGGCCCCAGAGTTTATACTACGTATGTCCAAGATTACTACCCTGAACACGTTTTTCACTGCTTTCACACACTTTTAAAAGTTTAGCCTGTTAAGACTTAACTGTTCTACCCTGCATTACTTTCAAAACTGTTCCACTGAATTTTATGGTTTTGCCAAGCAATCTTTGAGAGTCTAGACACATTTGTTCTAGGTGTATTCTAACCACTTAAAGGTTCCAATTGGAAAGAAAACAACAAACAAAACAATGTGGAAGTATTTCACAACTTCAAAATTTCTCTCCGTGGACAATTTAGCGAAAACCTATTCGGGATTGTAAAAAAACACTAGAATGTCGGGGGGGGAGAACATACAGAACCAATAAAAAAAATTTCAAATTAGTGGATGGCCATGTCTCTTCAGCTGTCGCAAACTGGTACCTATTTCCTTAAATTGTTTCCTTTCTCACGAAAAATATACTAAATTCTTTGGGCATTTTCCACCTCCTCAAGCAAACCACGTGACTTCACATATACTCAACTAAGAGCTCCTCTAATCAGAAACTGGTCATTTTGTATTCTCTCAACAGTGCAAAGGTGCTCAGTAATTTTTGTTTAACAACGAAAAACTTTAAAACACGTGCTTTCCAGATCAAATGCGACAGCTAGTTTCAACAGTACATTTCAACTGGCGGCAACTAGAAGCCACATTTCAACAACTTGTGAGCGCAATTCAAACTTTCTAAACCTAGGAAAGAAAGAGCTTAAAAATAATCGCGCACACACCGGTGACACTGGCGTCAATGTTAGAAAAAATAAAAATAAAAAACAAAAAAACACCAAAATCTAAAAACTCAATAGTCGTCTGCCTACTTAAGGCGAGGCCTGATTAGTTCAAACTAATCAGATATGGCTCCAAAATCACACAGTAAATTCACTAAGGTGCCAGGAGCTAAAACAGGAAGTTTCTTTCTCAAAAATACCGTTTCTAATAAATTACCTAAAATCTCTTTAAGACGATTGTTAGCTAAGATATTTAAACAGACTTGTCTACCTGACAAATAGTATTTACATCTCAAGGCGGCCCTACCGGCAGGAAACTTAACATGTAACAAGTTATTTAAAAACAAAAAACACCCTCAAAAACCAATTTCTGTGATTTTTTGTTACTTCTAACAAATTCTCCTTAGCCTCCAAATATGTGTAAAATTCTATCAAGCCTTGTACTTCAGCCATTATTTGGTGCATTCCTAAAACCCAGAGCCCCACAGTCAAGATATGCTATTAGACCTAGGAATTTTCGCATTCCCACTCAATTTAACTAATCCTCACCAAACTCCACCTTTAGGAAATGGAAACTTAAAAACACAAACCGAAAAAATTTACCATCACACGTTGTGGTTCCCAGCATCAGAACGCCTCAAAACAAAGGAAACAGAGGCATAAATTGTTGCCCGCCAATTTCTCCTTCAGTCCTGTTTAAAAAAAAGTCTCCATAAAACCTTGTGGTGTATTCTAACAGGATACTGGTAACGATTTTTGGCTGGAAAGCCCTTTCGGTATCAGAGAAAAGCATTCTATTTCGGCCAAATCCAATGTCCTCGCGCAATCCTGTCTAGGTCAGATTAGTCTCCATCTGAAAAGAAGTCCGATTAACACCGTAGATTCTGTCCTTTCCGGGCCGATGAGACGGCCCTTCCTTAACCTAAATACCGGGCGAAAGACCCCAAAGAACGTCGTCTTTTTTTTTCCACCCCACCACACAGGCCCGCGAGTCGCGGCCCGCGGCGGATCAGGCCCCAGTTGCCGCGCGGCTCCTCCGCCATTTTGTGCCTCTGGCAGGGAGCCCAGACCGCCAGCCCAAGATGGCTGCGGCGAGGCTTCGTAGGAGAGCAACGGCGAAATAAGATACCACTCCCCTCCCCCAACGCCGAAGGGACGCAGCGGCCATTTTTACTCTTCCCCCACCCCCATAACGGATAAAAACGGCCGTCTCGGGTACAAAGCCACATAAACCCGCCAGTGGCCTCCTTCACGACTAAGGACACTATCCACAAGGCTTTTAAAACTCTGCCTCCCGTCCCGCCCGGCTTCAGACTTCGGAACCTAAAACGCTTTTGCCTCCCGGCCCCAGGCCGATGGGCCTAGAAAGAGATGCCAGAAACTGGGACCACACAGCCGCCCCCGACACCACTTTACGTACCCGCTCGCCGTAGTTCTGCTCGCCGCTGTCGCTCATGACTCCTGGCTGCTGTCGCCGCTCGATGTGCTTCAATCGAAGCTGCCAACCTCTTGCGCCTTCCTCAAAGAGGTTCCGCCGCAACCTCGGAGAACGTACTGATTTCCGAGCCCCACAGAGCCGAAGCGCTCCGCACCGCCTCCACACGGGCTCTAACTCGGCCGGACGTGACGCGGCGCTTCTTAGCCCGCTCCTCCCCTCCCAGAACGCGCGCTTTCCAGGCCCCGCCCCTCCTCGTTCCGCCTTCCTTCTCCAGCAGTGGCGCGTCCCGAACCGGATGTGACATAAGCCCCACCCCTCGCGCGGCCCCACCCTCATTTCCCGGCCTCTCGGAGGCGGGAAAGTGAATGTGTGGGTGGGCTCTGTGGTGATCGTTGCGGGGTACCGTGATACAGCCATGCCTGAATCCCTTCTGGAACTTAGGGAAACCGTCCGGGGTGGGAAGGAAGAGGTGCCGCCGCCGTTTCTCCCATCGTTTGTCCCTTTCTTCCGCCGCATTAGTTTGTCTCGGTTTGTGTCTTCTTTTGGTTGGAGAGGGTAGATACGCTGGGTTCTTTACTTTTCATTTATTTAGCCTTATTTGTAGATCTTTCCTTCCTGAATAAACCTTACTCTTTTTTTTTTTTTAAACCAGATCTTGATACACAGGAATCAAATACAATCTTTATTCTGAAAAAGTTAGTGTTTAAGGGAGAACCGTGATTTCTAAGTGCTAGAGGTATGAACAACTACAGTGGTGTCAAAAGGAGAGAAGCTTAATTCTGCCATTACCCAAGAGTATACTGTATTGTTGGGTACAGTGGGAAGAGCCCAAACCTGGAAGTCAAATACTTGATCCTTCTGCACTTCAGTATCCCCACCCGTTATCAAAAAAAGAATGGTACATGGTTGGTGAGGTATTCTGATACTTGCAAAGGGCCATTTGATTTTTTTCAAACAGCTTTATTGAGATATAACTCGCATACAATGCAGTTTCTCCATTTAAAGTGTACAATTCAAATGATTTTTAGTGTATTCACAGAACTGTGCCACCATCACCACAGCCAATTTTTGAACAGTCTCATCGCGACACAAATAAAACCGTACTTATTAATAATCATTTTCCACCCTGGATCCTCCTCACTTCCGACAACCCTCCTAGTCCTTGGCAATAACAAATCTACATTCTGTCTCTATAGATTTGCCTATTCCAGACATTTCACATAAATGAAATCATACAGTATGTAGTCCTATGTAACTGGTTTTTTAAACTTAGAATAATATTTTCAAGTCTCAACCATATTGTAGAATATGCCAGTGTCTCATTCCGTTTTATTGTTGAATTATATTCCACTGTATGGATATTTCACATTTTATTTATCCATTCATCTGTTGATAGACTTTTGGAAAATTTCCACTTTTTAACTATTATGAATAATGCTGCTGTGAATATTCATGTACAAGTTTTTAAAATAAATTTATTTTTAATTGGCACATATTAATTGTATATAACTATGTGGTATAGAGTTGTATTTTAATACATGTATACAATGTGTGATGATCAAATCAGGGCAAATAGCATATCCATCATTGCAAAAATTTGTAATTTCTTTGTGGTGACAGCATTTAGCCTCCTCTCTTCTAGCCACTTGAAAACATACAATAAATTATTGTTAATTATAGATGCCTCGGACTACTGTAGATGACTAGAACTTATTTTTCCTATCTAGCTGTAATTTTGTTATTGGTTAACCAATCTCTCACTATCCCACCCTCCCCTTCCCCTTCCCAGCCCCTAGTAACCACGATTCTACTCTGTACTTCTATAAGGTCAACTATTTTTTTTTATGCATAAGTGACAATGCAGTGTTTATCTTTCTGTGCCTGACTTATTTCAGTTAACATGTTTTCCAGGCTCATCCATGTTGATGCAAATGACAGGATTTCATTCTTTTTTATGGCTGCGTGGTATGCCTTCATGTATATATACCACTTTTTCTATATCTGTTCATCTGTCAATAGGTACCTAGGTTGATTCCATATCTTGACTTCTGTGAATAGTGCTGCAATAAACATGGAGGTGCAGATATCTCTTTGGTATGCCAATTTACTTTCCATTGGATAAATACCCAGCAGTGGGATTGCTGGATCATATGGTACTTCCATTTTTCATTTTTTTTTTTTTTTTTTTGAGAACTTCCATACGGTTTTCGATGATGGCTGTACTACTTCACATTCTTACCAACAGTGTATGAGTTCCCTTTACATTCTTACCAACAGTGTATGAGTTCCCTTTTCTCTACATCCTCCCCAGCATTTGTTATTTTCTGTCTTTTTGATAATAGCCATTCTGATTGGAGTGAGATAATACCTCATTGTGGTTTTAATTTGCATTTCCCTGATGATTGAGTATTTTTTCGTATACCTGTTGGGCATTTGTATGTTGCATGTACAAATTTTTGTATGAGCATGTGTTTTTACTTCTTTTGGGTATATACCAAGGAGTGAGGTTGCTCAATTGTATAGTAACCCTATGGTTAACTTTTTGAGAAATAGTCAAACTGTTTTCCACTGCAGCTGCATTCATTTTACATTTTACACTGCCACCAGCAGTTTCTCCACATCCTCACCAATACTTGTGATTTTGCATTTCTTAAAAAAAAAAAAAAAAAAAAAAAAAAAAAAAAAAAACACTATAGCCACTGTACTGGGTATGAAGTGGTATACCATTGTGGTTTTGATTTGCATTTCCCTAATAATAAAAATGATGATAATTTTTTCATGTGTTTGTTGGCCATTTGTAGATCTTCTTTGGAGAAATGTCTATTCTGATACTTTGCCCATTTTTTAATTGGGTTATTTATCTTTTTATTATTGAGTTATAAATGTTGGCAATTTGATTCTTGCTTGGTGTAAAATGGTCAGCTGGAACAGCATCAGTATTGAAGGTACCTGAGACCCAGAGATTTGTTGATGACAATTGTCCTCTCTTCTTACACATTCTCCAGAGCAGACCTCATCTACTCTCATGGTTTCAGTCATGGACCTATATGCTAATGGTTTACATTTATATTTACACCTATATTTACAGCTTGAACAACCTCCTCAGTTCCATGCTTAAATTCCAGTTGCCTACTGCAATATTTACCTGGATATTTCAGAGGCTTATAAAAATTAACTTGTCAAAATTAAAATCATCATTTTAAATCTACCTCTCCTGTGCCCTCCAAATGCCTCTGCTGGAAACATTCTTCTACATTCCCTTCTTTATCAATTTTACTTCGTGTATGTTTTTAAAATTTATTTTTTCCTCTCCATCTCCGCTGCCACCATTTATTGAGCCTCTTCGACTCATTTATCTGGAGAATTGCAAAGTAACTTAGAAACAAAATTAACGTTTGTGGAGTTTTTACATATTTAAGCATTTTATTTCAAGTTCTAATAAGAGGGAATAGGGTTAGATTCAAACTATCTTTAAAGCTGGAGTTCACAAAGGTGAAATGGGATAGGGCGTATCTGAGAAAACAACTCTAGCACTCTTTCTCCCGATAATTGTACTTGGAATTTTGTAAGGATCCCTTGTGCTTCTACACATTTATTCATTCTAATCATTACATTTGCTAGTCTGTACCATTTCTAACCTTTACTGTACCCTTTCTGGGAAAAAGAGATTAAATTTTTTTCCCATTTTTAACACCTGAACAGTGGTCAGTATGATCTAATTTAAAGATTAAAGAGCTTGCCTGTTAGCTCAGTTGGTTAGAGTGTGCCTGTGGTCCAGGGTTCGATCCCAACCTCCCCCCCCAAAAAATAAATAAATAAAATAAAAAATAAAGATAAGTCAGAAGCAAAATGTTAATTGTAGACTCTAAGTGATTCTACAACATGGGTGTTTACTGTACCATTCTTTCCACTATGTTTGAAAATTTTCATAATAAAATGTTCAGAGGATAAAACATGTTGGGTGATGGTACCACATGCTCTGAAACAATCAATGGTTTTCCATAGCTTTTAATGGCAAAGTCTAAAAACCTTAAAACAATCTGCAGTTCTCTGCATGATCTATTCCTTAAATGCCCTTGTTCACTAAACTGTAGTCACATGGTTTCTCACACCCTGTGTATCCTCAACCCTGGGCCTTGGACCGGTTCTCTCTTTCTGGGAACATCACTCTTTCCAATATACCCTAAACCTGGATTCCTACTCAAATCTCAAACTTTGCCCTACTTGGCTTAGATGAGATTATATTATATTAGATAGGCTAGACTAATCTACTCTTGGTTTACATTAAATTAGATCTTTTTTTTTACATACTCTCATAACTCCCCTCCACACTCATATTATTTATAACAATTATAATTAAACAACAGTAATATATAATAATAATTATTATTATTTCTGTGATTATGATTTTTGTATCTGTCTTCCCCACTAGACTAAGTTTATTGAGGATAGGGCCCATACCTGTTTTGTTCACTGCTTTATACCTAGTACTAGTGCCTGGCATGTA